GTTCTCAATTCGTCTGTACGTTTTTTTTTATATATGTTACGCGATAACTCCGGTATTTGTGAACCGAGTTTCATGATTCTTTTTTTGTTGGAAAGAGGGTACCTTCATAGTGGTCCAATTTAATTTTGAAGAAAATCATCCACCTCTAAGGGTGGCTATTCGCGCATGAAGATTCATTTTTATAAATAGCGTCTAAATTTTATTATAAGGAGCAATTATTTTAATGGTTGATTTTGCTGTTCTCCAATTAAAGGCGTTTTTCCCTCTTAATAAGTAAAATAGTAATATACTTTGAGCAGTGAGAACCGATTTTTACTATCTCCTGTGTCAAGTTCCGTATAGTAGCGAACTAAGAGATGAATCCGGGTTTGCGTACTTTCCGGTAACCGATTTCGATAAAACTTGGTAAATAGATGTAATTCCACGTACTATCGAGGTCGGTTTTTAGTACTCTGTACTGAGATTATTTTACAAATTATTAGTCGTATACCGATAAACTATGAAATAATAAAAATATTAAGAGACTCAACATACCTAGCTTGGTCACTGACATAATGCACTTAAATCGATTTTATAAACGTAAGAAATAAAAAAAAACAAAACTGACGGTAGTTAGCGACTCAGTATTTTTACGAGTGGTGTGATTACATTATTACGACTACGCCGATGTATATATTTTTAAATACCCTAATTTTGACATTTGAGTTTTGAGCATTAGCTTGTACGGACGGGCCGCAATGTTCGCCTATCCATAACAGTTGCAGTGTCACTCAGAGCTTTTAATCGCAAAGATCTTACGACCACTGCCACTGTGCCCGTCACCCTGAGACATAAGTTGACAAGTCCCATGTGTCTGTAATTTCACCAAAGTTTCTAGGTATAAATGTTTAATTTGCTAAGTATAATTGTAATGGTAATATAATGTCTCTTTTAATCTGAACAATTCCAAAAAAGACCCTAAAATCCTTTTTGCAACATTTTCTCAAAATGCTGTGTATAACAGTGTAAGTTTAACATGGTAGAGGTCTCTATGTACTTTTTATGTGTAAATAATTATATGTATTTGCGTTGATTATATCATTTTTATTAATATTAACGTTTTATTTTTATTTACGTAACGTTCTAAAGTAAATGCCGCCAATTTTCGAGTTGTGCGGTGTTACTTGCTAAGCGACGATATAGCAAAAGAAATAAAAGCAAATCTTGGGCTACAGTGTCTCTTGCCACCAATGCCAAGCGTGACATTATATTCTCTTCCGATGAGATCTCTGCCTATTTGTTATTATAGGCAAAATAATTGCAAGCAAATTAAATTATACGACATTTCGAACAACAATAAACTTTTTTATTTGATTATTATCACAGCATACAAAGTTACTATTTAAAAATAACATTAAATAATCGAGTAATTTACAGATAATAATAAGAAATTATGAATAAAACACACGGTTCAGATGACACACAAACGAGATTGTTATTCGCGAATGACTAGATGGGCTTATTTATTACTATTTAGGACTTTGTATCGACCCATCAGAGTCAAATTCATAAAATTTACGTACGCTTTATTCTAAAGTAAAAAGCCGACGCAAGCATTAAAACGCCTAAAAATCAGTCTTACTTCAAAATTATTTTTTAATGTTAACTACACGTGCAAATGATTATAGTATTAAATAATAGTGACCATTGCACTGTACATAGCTGTTATAATTCTTCATTGCTCATTGCAGTGCGATCGGGTTTATCCTTTATGAGGGTAGGAAGACAGTTTAACGTAATTTTGTAGTAAGACCAATTGTTATTTAAAAATCTCCTATAATGTACAAGCTTCTTGCTTTCAGTTATAAAAAAAAGAAGTACAAAGAATAAAAAATAATAAAAATTTATTGTCCTGATCAAAAACAACGATTGAATATGTTGGCAACTTAAACTCAATGCTGTCTGTGCAAAATGTATTGCTTTTTTATGTCAAAAACATCTTTGATTGCTACTTCATCGTATTATATTTATTCGCGAGTTAACCAATTTACAACGTATCTCAAAATTATAATTACAAGACAAATAAAAAACTCAATAATTCATAATTTAAAAAAAATACAATCAAATGTCATATAAATATCGGTGTATAAACGGCCGAAATGTTAAAAAAACACACTGACAAACAAAGATAAGAACAAATATACTTGATAGCCTATTTCGTAACTTAATGGTGACGGTAAATTCGCGTTACAATAATTAAAATTTAACGTACATTTTTACTACACACTTCAAGAGTGTCTAGGAATCAAGGGCGTTTTTGCCAACTAGGTACTGAAAATCAGATTTTTTAATTTTTTCTTTTTTAATCGATGGACTTTTCCCTTTTCAATTCCTTAAAAAACTTGATTTTCATTCATTAACAAAAAAGTGGTGATCCCTATATATAACTGCAATTAATCTGAATACAAAATGAAAGGGCACTTAAATAAAGGCATAAAGCGAATAAGTCCATCGAAATCACGCGGAATGGCCGTAATTGTGTACTATTTGAGGTCAAATACATATAAGAAATGCCGGGGGATTGTGAAGAGGCAAGTCCACGAGTTCGAAGAGCAACGTAAAACTCAACTCGACGCTAGACGTGACGAGATAAAGGCCCGCCCATCCTCTGCCATTAGCTATAGCTACGTTGGCGATGCACTCACGTGCCCTCAATGTGCACGAGGAGGGTTCGCCGCGAAGATTGGCTACATATACGGCGACGGCGTATCCGAACACGGTCAGATAGATACAATCTGATATTTAAGGTCTCTATAACAGAAATGTGTTAAAACCCAATGAACCGGCACGGGTTTTAACCTATTTCTGTCCAAAATCGTGAGCAGAAACGGTGAGTACTATAACAAATTTCGATGCAAAAAAATCTTTTTTAGACGAAGGAGGCAACACCACACAATACGCACCTTGCAATCCTGGGGATTCTCACTACTAAGGATGCACAATTCAATTTTTATGAAGATCGATTCAAGTGCATACGATCTAACGATTTTTTGTATCGATTTTCAAGCGTATCGATTCAATAGAAAGGCGAATCGAATCGTCCAGACAAGAAAGCAATAAACATTTTGTAATAATTTGAACAAGACTCGACTTACAACAAATATTTAGTTGTGAATAGTTTTACCCTCGATTTCGGGCATTCATATAAAATCTCTGCTTCCTAATAAATCGCGTGTCACCTATGCCTCTACCATGCGATTGACAGTTATCGCTGGCGACCGCGCAACATGTTTGTATACAAAATGTTGTTTTTTCTTGTAACGCTAGCGGCGCTGTATAATTTGTCATTTTGCGTTTGTGAAGTAATTAACGCGGTCGCTAACGACAACGATCACAGTAAACTCGTGGTAGAGGCACTAATTGCGACTGCCTCACGCCATCGAAATAACACACAATTACGACATCCATTTAGCTGGAGAATTCAACCTTTGGTGTTATCTATAGCTAACAGTCATCTTGCATGATCGACAACATCACGTTTGAACACGGTAAGAACATAAAAAGTATTATAAAGAAAAACTTCAAACTTTTGTAAATTAACAATGTTTTACCTTTTTCAAATGACCGGCCGCTATCTGCCGTGTATTTCAAGTACAGGCCATGCCCCAAGATAATTGACCTTTTGGTACCTAGAGCTTTGAAATTTGTATTCTGTATTTAAGTAAGTATACTTTAAAGCTCAAATTGGCTTAAATTGTTTCTTAGAACATCATTCACTAATGATAAATAACGTAAAGCACACGCTCAAAGCCCCGCACTAGGGGCCACACACATCCAAACTGACGAGAGAAATAAATGTAGGCCATACAAATATTTCGCCCGGGACCGGGATCGTGGCAAACCAGCATGGTAACCGTTGAACCACGTAAACAATTAATGCAATAAAGAAGTCTATACCAAAATGAATTTTACTTTTATTCCCACTTATCTACCCAGAACCAAAAGGTCGGTTGGAAAGTCAGGTATCATAAGGCATCAACTGTACATACAAAGAACACGTTTTACAAGACTTAAAGCCTATAAACTATATCTTCTTAAAATTAGTCAAATAACGATGAGACAATATGAATTCAAAACAAGAAATAAATATTCAAAAATCGACACAAGGACCAGCGCGGTTCGCTTGCATACGTGTAAAAAGTGGACTGATGAGATATTATAGGTAGTACTAGCTTGGTACACCAATACTCACAGAGCCGTCTTTAGATAAAATAGGGTCCATGGCAACTTAGACAGGGAGTCCAACAAAAGCAATTTCCTAAATAGTTGCCTATGTAAAGTCCAATTACACATGACAGAATCATAATATGAAAAGGTGTCACAAAAGAGTAAAATTATTTGCCACGCCATTTATGGGGATGGTTCCCGAACTAAACAGGAACATCCAAAACCTCTGCACTTTTCAGAGGTGTACGGTGTAGGGCCCCGGATTCCCGCATGAAGTATACATGGTGTTCAAATTGTTTATGAATAAATTCCATCAACATTTTTCCTTCAGTGCCAAAATCAGCTAAAATTATACAGTTGTTTGATAAATTCGTAATTACTTTTAGGGGTTACGCGATCGCGAGGACCTTGCCTAAAGACGGCACTGTGTCATATGTTTATTAACCGACTTCAAAAAAAGGAGGAGGTTCTCAATTCGACTGTATGTTTTTTTTTTGTATGTATGTTACGCGATAACTCCGTTATTTCCGAACCGATTTTCATGATTCTATTTTGTTGGCAAGAGGGTACCTCCATAGTGGTCCCATTTAATTTTGAAAAAAATCATCCACCTCTAAGGGTGGCTGTTCATTTTTACATTTTTATAAATAGCCCCTAAATTTTATTATAAGGAGCAATTATTTTAATGGTTGATTTTGCTATTCTCCAATTCAAGGCGTTTTTCTCTCTCAGTATACTTTGAGTAGTGAGATCCGATTTTTATTATCTTCTACGTCAAGTCCCGTACAGTGACGAACTAAGGGATGAATACGGGTTTGCGTGCTTTCCGGCAACCGATTTCTATAAAACTTGGTAATTATATGTAATTCCTCGTGCTTTTGAGGTCGGTTTGTTTAGTACTCTGTACTGAGATTGTATTGTCATGTCCAAGTCGAACTTAATAGCATTTGAAATTTATAAATTCGCCAGTTAAAAAAATTGTACCTACCGTGCTCAAAATTTGTTTTTGTCGTTCCACACGCACACGAACACAAATCAACTCTCCAATACACCAGCATTTGAATAATGAATCTAGACTGGTCGGTAATTTCCCACGGGTTTGTAAAACATCTGTCCGGAGGACACCCTGCGGAATATTTCTTTGAGAAGCAGGTTTTTTTCTTTCTTGATCTTGGAGAGAAAGCCTCTGTTCTCATTGGCTCGGCGGGAAAGGTACGGGAGGACTTCCGTTACTGGACCATATGGGACGTATTTGTACGCTGAGTAGCCTGCTTGACCTGAAGAACAAACAATGTACCTATATATAATTATTAATAAAAAGATCGAACACTAATAAAAATTCCTTTGACCGGACAGGATTTGAACCTATGACCACGCTGTACCGTAGCGTCGCTCTATCAATTGAGCTGCAGGTCGATAAGTATAAAATATATTGTTTTACTAACTATTTTTGAATTTTTATGCCTTTTACATTAAAGTGCAAATTTATAACATGTCACATCACTATATAGTGATGTGACATGTTATGAATTTCCATATGTTATGAATGTTATGAATCCATAGGCTTGGCGTCTAGACGCCACGTTTCTGTCAGTGGCGATAAAAAGGTTAATTAATTAGAATACATTTATTGTGCAGTAAGTAAATTAGCAGACTTTATCTCAGCGAGTGTCGGTTGGAAGAGAACTCTTCTATAGATAAGCTCAACTTTGCATGTCCTATGTTGCGTATGCCTTGTACAAAAACAGTGATAAAGATTTCTTAGAAAAAAGAAGACATACCTAGCGGGAAGGTTACATGGTCGCACATGCCCAAGAGCTGCCCGAAGCAGACGACCTTATCCTCGGGCTTAATGCCGTTCTCCTTCATCAGATTGATGGCATACCGGACCGTGTCCTCGTTGTGGGACGCGATCATGATTCCGACGCGCCCTTTCATGTCACCCTGTAGAAGAATGTCCTTGATAATTTTGATCTATGATGATCAATGATCGGAACTAGGGGATATAATTTACCTAAAGTTTGAACGTTTACTTAGTATGGACATATCCATTTCCGCGGTATAACCAAAAAAATATCCCAGGATTCATGTCACCATATCAACGCATATAATATTAGGCGACGAATAAAATTAATATAGGCATATTATTCAGTTTTATTTATTTCTATGTATTTCATTACAATAATTACAATGTTTATACATACTAAACGTACTTACTAAGGAATTGTTCTCTCAAAAGACGAAATCAAGATGTCAAACAATAGAAACCGTCAATATACCTTGATTTCGTACTGTGTGAAATGTGTGTGAAAGAGAAAGCCGTTACTTCTTTCTACAGCGAAATATGCGAGCGAAAAAAGCGCTCTTGTAAAATGTTTTGCTGAGCAGGAATCCACATATAAAAATACAACTATAATATTATTTTTTACCGGTTTCAAAAAAGGAGGAGGTTCTCAATTCGACTGTATGTTTTTTTTTTGTATGTATGTTACGCGATAACTCCAGTATTTGTGAACCGATTTACATGATTCTTTTTTTTGTTGGAAAGGGGGTACTTCCATAGTGGTACCATTTCATTTTGAAGGAAATCATCCATCTCTAAGGGTGGCTGTTCACACATGAAGATTCATTTTTATAAATAGCGCCTAACTTTTCTTAAGGAGCAATTATTTTAATGGTTGATTTTGCTATTTCTCCAATTCAAGGCGTTTTTCTCTCAATGTTCTTTGAGTAGTGAGAACCGATTTTTATTATCTCCAGTGTCAAGTCCTGTATAGTGGCGAATTTAAGAATATTTCAATAAAACTTAGCAAATAGACGTAAGTCCACGTACGTTTGAGGTCGGTTTTTTTAGTACTCTGTAATGAGATTATTTGAGACAATAATTCGTAACAATTTTCATTAAATAATACGCATATTCAAATTTAGGCAGTTCCGGGATTTGTAGAAGGGATGTCCACATTATTATTTACGTTGCTGGAATTTTAGGTTCTTTAACTCCCTCGATTCCGTTCACTGATGATGATGATTATCATGGCGTTTCAAATGTCTAGTTGGTCATTTTTTTACGACACCAGGTGATGGGACGTACAAGTCGTGCCCCTGGTGGTAAGCGACACGTCTGTCCATAGTAGTAGTGTCCCTATCGAATTCAGTTCGGTGCCCGGTCAGAAACGGACGCGTCCAATACGCAGTGAGAATTATTATAATTCGAGTTTCGCGCGGCATAGGCCGCTGCGCGTAAGTGGCAATGGGTTCCCAACAACTCATAGCCAATGAGCTTTTGGCGTTTGTCCCACACGCCATCGATACTATGGACGAAGTCAGCATCGTGCAGATTTGCAAATCCAACTTCAACGAGAGCCTCGGCAAAGCTGAGCAGATGCCATCTCGCCGGAGGGATGGAGGCGTGAAGAGTCTCCAGGATGTTATCACACTCCTGAAGGATACTGACCCGGACGACGGGCCTACATTCGTGGCGAAGGAGCTACACAAACTGGCCCCCGTCACGTTCGACCACGTCGATATTACCAGGTTGCTGAATGATATCATTTCCCTGAAGTCAAGCCTGGCCAAGGTGCAGTGTAGATTGGAGGCTTCAGATAGGACCGTAAGTGAGCTGCGTGCCCAAGTTGCGTTATTAAGCAACGCTGCTTCGGTATGTAGTTCAGTACATAATTAAAAAAGCGGGCCTTTTTAAGAACACTCTCAATTTGATCTAAGAATGTTCTTCGTGCCCTGTCGATTGCAGCAGGCTTTGGAAAATCCTTAATTTTTGGAGGTACTTCAAGACAATTGTGAAAGTACAAATTTCATAATTTAGTATAAATACCTTGTATCTGGAAAGGATCTCCTTGATGCACTTGTGGTAGGAGGCGGTGGTGGCTTCATAATTGGGACATGTGGGATCCTCATAGCCCATCGCGGCCGCTCGCGCGCGCTCCTGCGCACACCAGCAATTGTTTTTACTAAAGAATAACTTTTTTGAAAGGTTCGTTTCTTAAATGTGTAAATCATCCCCCGACCGTCAACGTCGTCAAATTATTTAATAGTCTCCGATAGTCCCAATATACCAGCTAACGACCGGTTACTAATATATAGGCGACATCATGTATCACGAGTATTTTGTACATATCGTAAGTATTTTGTGTCTGTCTAGTGACAACCCTAGTGCACAATTTTTGGAAAAATAATAATAATAATAATGAAGTGCGGGTAGTTACAAAAACTGGCATGGCTTTAACACCCGCCTTTTCAGTCCTTTCGAGACTATGAATGTTGCAACACGCCCGAAACGTCGAAGTAACAGTAACAAAACTGTATATTTACATGATTAAAGGTGGTTTTCCACCGGCGCGGCGAGATGAGACCAATTGCCATTAATAACACGCGCGAGTTCGCGCGAATCATCGCGAACTAGCGCGAGTCATTGTGAGCCAGCGCGAGCCATCGCGAACTAGCACGAGTCACCGCGAGCTCGCTCTGTGATTGTGGATAGTGAAGATTCAGTGCTGCTCAGTTCATCTAGCGATAAATACGCGATGGCTCTCGCGAGTCCGCCTGAGAAATCGTGTTTCCGTTGCAGAGTATATTACTGAATGTAGGCAGCACTACTGTTCAATATTACAACCACAAATATTTTAATTCTCGCCTCGCCCCTATCTTCGTCAATGCGGTCTGCATTTCCATCAAAGATGGGCTACGAGAGAATTGAAATTTTGTCATACAAGTTTCAGTCCTCGTCTCACCTCGTCTGGCCTCGTCGGTGGAAAACCACCTTTAGTCCCGATTTTAATCAAATTTGACCATTAAAAAATTACCAAAACCGTTAAGAACATCGTGTGTCTCTAGGATCCGTCACGAGTTAATGTACAGACGGCATCACATCTATTTTTTTTTATAACATCTAGCTACACATTGGCGGGTACTGTGCCGTTGCACTAGAGGCGATAATCGAACAAAAGTGTATAGCTTAATGAGCTATTGACTGTATCAAGGGGCGCTCCTGAGTATAATCAAAATCATATATTGTTATTATATGTTAACCTGTTCCATGTAAGCGCCACGCACGCATTTGGCGGCCCAATAGAAGTTCTGCCGTTGCGCCTGCTCCAGGTCCGCCACCAACTCGTTGTACGTGTGCTTCAAGTACGTCTGATACGTGTTAAACACTAGGAATTTGTCCTGACAACAAAAAAAAATCATATTTACATAGTAATAAGTGAGGATGTTGTATACTAAATCTTAATATAAAATACGAGAGACGATACATTTTCTACCCTAACTCGTCCAAACCAAGATACATAATTTGAGGTACCAGGTACAAAATTGAGACATCGTACTCTGGAGGCTGGCAAAGTTTCCATTTAGTAGAGCCAAACTTATTCTTAAAAATTAACTGGCAAATTTTGAATATCAACAGAAATCTTACTACAGAAGCGTATAACATTTCACCTTAGATAAATTTGTTGTGACATTGGAGTTGACTGTCTAGAACGAGAAAAATTACTATTCTTCGGAAATTGAACAATTTTTTAGATCTAAATCACCAGAGGCGTAAAACTAATCGTTAGTAAAGCCGGTCCAACATAAAAATCTACCTTAACAACTACTTATTTTTCCGTTAAAAAGCCACCTTGTGATACTTATTAGCACAGAAGATACTATATAACCCGATGGTTTTCGAGTTTTCAGCCGCCATTATTAGATCTTATCCTACAATGGTTTTACAGCAAACTTTTGCAAATGTGTGTATTTCGATACGGGCGTCTAGGTTTCATGAATGAAATAGAAGCCGGGATCCGACCGGCTTGCGTGATAGACCGCGCCCTGTGATTGGCAGATATGACGAGATCCACCATACTCCGTATTATTGAATATTTTGAACATAAGTTTTTTAAGAGGCGGGGTATATACGCGTTGTTTAGTACAATATTGTGGTAATACGTGGAAAATTTTAGGGAAACCGGGTGGAATCGAGTTATGTGGACGCCTCGGCACTGTAAATACCGTATATTTGTTTTTTTCAAAGGTAGCTTTCCAAATGAAATCGAAAAATCATTTATACCATGGGTAAAATAAATTTCCAATTGAAAAACGACATTTTTTAAGCTCGTGCTCATTCCCTGTGCTGACTTCCCTAAGAAAAACGAGCAACAAAATTTTAATCAAATCTGTGCGGAATCTAGAGCCGTCTTCTTCCCATACATCTTTATCTAACAAGTCGTCAATTTTGTAAAATACATTTTCAGTTAATGTAAATTTTAAACTTAGGCAACAATAATCTTAATATATGCTCAATTCCCCAGAAAAAATCGTGTACCTTAGTTAAACCACAATCGTTTCAAGACAACAATCGAGGGAAACCTGCTATTTTACCTTATGTAAGAGGTGTCACAGACAAGATCTAAAGAGTCCTCAGACAATGCATCTATCAAGACCTATTTCAAGCCCCTGTGGAAAATTTCCCATTTCCTCGTGAAAACATCCCCTTACAGGATGCAGGAGTTTACAAGCTTGAATGCGAGTGCGGTCTCTCTTATATCGGAGAAACGAATTAAAGTATTTGTATCCGCGTCAAAGAACATTATAGCTGATGTCAAACACCGTCGCGTAAACAAGTCTGCAGTCTGTGAGCATGCTTAGATAAACCTATACATTTGTTATCGCTAAATAAGATCCAACTTATTTCACTTCGCTTTTATTGAGATTAAATTCACTATTATTCTCTAAGTTCACCATCGGATCAAGACTGATCTAACCCTTACCACGGGTATTTTATGACTCATTAAGGTGGTAGTGTGAAGTTAGGCGTGAATACCTCGTCAACAAAAAGTCGTTGAAAAACCAAATACGAAGATCCGACAACAAGCACAATTCGTGAGGTCCGCAGGTTCGTTCCGTGGCTTAGTTGGCATAGCATCTGCCACGATTTGCTAGGAGACGTCGGTTCGAATCCGACCAAATCGAAGGAATTTTTTCGGAGTGTTCGATCTTTGTATTAATAATTATAACAAACTAGTGGAGTAATTTCACAAAAAAAAATTGAATGTTAATTTGATGAAACATTCTGACTTTCAATAAAAACTTAATTACATTCAATTAAGTTAGAAAAAACCATGTCCTTGCAAAAGAAATCCATTATCTACTTAGGATGCTGCGAAACAACATCCTAATTTCAAAGGAAAGATGGTTTCTCGGTACCACCATTTTGTAATCTCACGTTTATTATCGAGTTCAGCTTTACGTTGCTCTTCAAACTCGTGGACTGCTACTAAACAATAACTACGTCTACAGTAGTTATGAGGGAACCCACACCTCTTTGCTTAACTATAGTTAGGAAAATATTCGCAACTTAAAGAAGTTAATTATAAAAATGTAGATGGAAACACACCTTGTTGTACGTACGCATCATCTCCATCGTGATTCGGGAGATTGCAGGTTGGAAATACACTTGCTCAGCGTCGATCATAATCCTCACGTCCACTTCGTTGGCAATCTGCAAAGCGAAACACCGTATTAGATTTCAGTTGTGGTATACAAACCAGCTGGTAGGTATAAATGGCATTACCCGTGGCGGTATTTCGTATCATCGGAAAGTCTGATTTTAATAAATTTTAAATAGTCTGTTTATCGAAATAATTTGTTTGTTACAAGAAACGAAAGTAAAGCTTATACAGGGGTATGCAGTATGGTCGCTTCTTTTTTGGAGAACTAAATTAATAACTCCAATTCGACGTCGTTCAGCAATTAACCGCTAGATGGCAGCACATTGATTTAAATTTCTATATAATATCAAAACGTCGTCACTTGTAATAATAGGTATTGAACATTCAACGATGTGCCAACAGGGTAAAGTTTAAATTATATTAACAATCCAGAATTTGTTATTTCTTTTTAAATTTGAAACTACGTCAATCAATATCAAGATTTTGTAGTGTTTCAAATTAACAATGTGTGAGTTTTGGCGACATCAATTCTGATAGTAATCGAGCCTTAAAACACTTCCATTAAAAAAACAATTATTCCGTGGATAGGACAGTCAGTGACGAAAGCAACAATTTAAGACGCTAATTATAAAAGCAGCAAAAGAGCGCCATACGCCATCCGATATCGGTCGATCCTCCTATACATATTGTATATGTTGCAGCTGTATTGTGTAAAGCACCGTATTACATTACAAAAGCGCGCTGTTTTCTAATTTCGAAGCCGAAGCTAGGCCTGTGCATCACTATTACAGATTAAGAAAGTTCTCTAGATCGATAAGGTAAGTTGCTTTATCGCGGACTTGTTTAAAAGTAGCTTACCTGGATGATATGGTTAAGCCTAGCCAACATGTTTCTGAACATGGTCTCTTCTTCCTTGGAAATCTGACTGATGAGTCTTCGCATCTGGCCAGTCTTAGGGTCCGGCACGCGGAACGTATCGGATAGATTCATGTCCTTGTCCAAGATATTTGACCACGGGAACAAGTGGACGATACTGCAATTAATAATTATTATTTCACCTCACTAGCTCGGAAAGGCTTTCTTTCTCATTAGAAACTAAAAAAAATTTGTAGCAGTAGAGTTTTTGTGAAGGAGTTCGTCCAGGAAAGTACTGCCACCTTACCTACTTCTGCCGCCAAGTAGTAATGTCAGCATTACTTTGTTCCGGTTTTGCAGGGTAAGGGTGCTGGTGAAATTACAGGCACATGGGACTTGTCAACTTACATCTCGAGGTGACGGGCGCAGTGGCAGTGCTCTTCAGATCTTTGCGATATAAAGTTCTGAGTGGCACTGCAAGTGTTATGGACAGGCGTGTAGCTTACCACCAGGCGCACGACTTGTTCGTCCCGTCACTTGATATTATATAACAAAAAAATAAAATAAAAAAAAGAAATCTGCGCGGAAAAGCGTTTTCCACGCTAGCGTGGAAAGGTTTTTGAAATTCGAACTTCACGATGGATTGTGGTGTACCTAACTTTTACTTTCGATGAAAAAGAACATAATGACACGTTCAACTACGCGATTTGTCTCATACATTATTTATGTAGTATAAATCCGTTGGCATATTCTATTCTCATTTTTGTTGACATAGACAACGATAACTAATTTGTTTAATAAAACTAATTTGCTATTGTTCAGCTGTTTTTCTTTCATCTACCATTTTCCTCTAGTGAGGTGAAAAGTTGTGTGTTTCGCTCGGCAGCAAAGTTGTTTTGCGTCTCGTGTCTTGAAACCCTCGCTACGCCCAGGATTCTATTATTTAATCACTCGCGTCCTTCCCTTGGTCAGGTTTCAATACAAACACTCGCGTCAAACAACAATTTCGCAGCCTTGCATAACAAATAACTATTGTTACGTGAAGAAAATCATAATATTTATACTTATTTCATAAGTAGGTAAACAAATCACACTTGAAATAATCAAATTTCAATATGTTTTACTACCACTATATTCAATTATTTTTTGTGAAATGACTCCAATTATTTGTTAAAATTATTAATTAACACAAAGATCGAACACTAAGAAAAAACCCCTTCGATCCGGATGGTTTCTGGCGACCCGAAATCGAAGGAACTTTTCAATCAATGTTACATCGCTGTGTTGCTCAAATTTCGTTATTACATTTCGCAGATTCATTCTTAGCGATCTATTAACAGATTTATAGCCAAGTGACAAGTCTCCAATTTCAATTGTAGGTAATCGAAATTCACGTACAGATAAGCTCATTTGATCATCAATTTGATTAATTTGTGTAGGTATTATATTTGATAATCGCGAAATAGTATAAAAAATTTCGCACTATCCATCTCGTTTTACAAGCATGTAATGACGCGTGTTAAAACAAAAGAAGTAAAAACATAAATCATAGATTAATAAGCAGCAGTTTCTGACTACACAACAATAAAGTATTATATGATTATAACAGTTACTAGAGTTACCATATAAATTTAAAAATTACAAAAAAAGACTCAACGATATCTATGTACTTGACTAGGCTGCATGGTCTAAAGATCTTTGCCTTTCAGCAAGGAAAAGTACATAACATACTATCAATAATTTCAACAACTCGACTGTATGTACCTTTTTTCTTTTACTTAATTCGTTTTTTTTTTTTAGTAATATAATAATTATAAATAGTAAGCGGAAGGCCCCTGGGTCAAATGAAAATGGAAAGTATTGTGCAACTATTAGCGAGTTTGCTAAAGCTTTACATTAATTTCCCAACTACGGATAAATACCATTGGTAAACACTCAATATTATCTGCCTGCCCAGGTCATCCCCAATATCACTATTGATAGTGTTTTGTTTGGAACTATTTATCTATAGATTGAAGTCGTTGACTTGTACCTTATCCCAAAAACAAATCGATTAATTGATTGATTAGAATAGAATAGAATAGAATAGAATAGAAATCTTTTATTACTACGCTACAACAAAAATATACACAGTAATAAAGTGAATATAAAAAAAAGATGAAGCTACATTAAAACAAAAAATTAAAATAAAAATAACTGGAAAAAAAGGAATAAAAATACAATCATACACAACAACAAAGCAAACATGAAATATTTAACACAATTAGATTAAGTGTCATGTGCGCGGCTGTGGCGTATGTACTCGTAACAGGACTCAGCTATTGTCACCACCGAGAAAAGGCTGTGACGCTGATTTTCAGTGGGCCCTAAACTTGACGTAAATCAATTTGTGATTTTTTATGAGTGTATTCCGACGCCACGGTGTCGCGTCGAGTCCGAGTGCCTCGGGTCTGTACGTCACAGTTAAGACACACATTTGGCCTGAAGCCAGTATTACGATCTAAACTGATTCATTTGCAATTTTTAAAAGCTACCGCTCGCTATTGCCAAGAGCATTGCCCTGCATAATGCCAGTTTACATAACTATCGCAAGAGAAAAGTCATAGGACCTTTCAGCGCCTGCTCGGACAAGAAAAAACGTGAAAGATTTATTTTTATAATTATTAAACAAAGATAACGAACACTTAGAAAAAATTATCACTTAAATCCAGTTGGATTCGAACCAACGTCTCCCAGCAAACCGTGCCAGACGCTATGCCAACTAAGTCACAGAACAAACCAACGGACCTCACGAATTTTTCCATGTGTTTGTTGCAGATCTTTGTTTTTGGTTTTTAGCGACTTTTTAGCCGGAGCGCCATCTCTTGAGAAATTTATGACGTTTTTAAACGATTTATTTTAAATGAAATTTATTTTTGCACCTACCTACCAATTGGAATTTACGTTCACATGTGTTTACTTATAATTTGTAGATAAACGCTTACGACAATGCCCAAAGATGCCAATCTGAACCTTACGATAACTCAGTTGTCGACCGATCGCTTTTCATTTTTATTCACAACATCGAACGTCAAACTGCCGCTACTATACGCTAATGAACGTTACCAAACGTCCTATTGTTTACAAAGCAAGAACGTTATATGGAAATATCTTATTATTTTAAATGAAGTCTGGATTTTATTCAATTTTATTAATTTATTTCAATGCAAGAGGAATTCATTCCTATATTTTTAAAGTCTTAAAAATGTATATAAAGGGATTTTAGGTTAAACGACGATCCCTAAAATACATTTTATAATATAATATGACTTCCTTCTTGCATCACTAGTACCATTTTCCACATAGACAAGAGGTTATCTATGATTTTCCACTAAGCGACTAGCCGCGAGGGACCGCAGTCGTAGTGGCTAGTTTTACTTCATAGTCGCAGCCGCGTCAATGGGTATAATGCACAGACGTATATGGCATAATTACTTATTTGGATAAATAGGATACGCGCGCGGTCAGCCACCTGCGACTAGCCGCTTAGTGGAAAATGCGTGTTAGCACAGTATTACAATATCTTCCCTAGTTTTAGTCTTCTTGCATTATTAACTGCCTCAGTGGCCGAATGATTACCATGCTGGTCTGCGTGATGATTTTGATTAAAATCGGAATCGCAACGATCGAGTAGTCTCGTAATCAGATGGGTTTCCGAGCGAGAAGATGAACCGGGGGGGCCACTCTCGATCTCCGTCCGACATCCGTCCGAAACAATTACTGTGAAATAAGTAATATTCGACAAAATTAAAAGGCAAGTATCCAGTATGAAGCTTCATTCGCATCACGCGTCTTTTCATTTGGTCAAGTATTGCTTATTTGGCAATAATTGTTTCGGACGGATGTCGGACGGAGACCGAGAGTAAACCCCCCATTCCAACTATATCTTTCTAATTTGCGAGTTAAATGAACCATTGTTCCGATTTGAAATGTCAAAGTTTCCGATCGGCCAGTTGTGAATCGCAATTATGCGCCTCGACTCGAAAAAGACGCAGTTTCCAATCGGGAGAGGCAATCAAAATCAAGCTGCTGGTTCGATTCTCGAACCGCGGAAATATTTGTATGACCTATATTTTATTTCTCTCGTGAGCAAGCGAAGGTTTTAAGACACGAAACGCAAAATAGCCTTGCTGCCGAGCGAAACACACAACTTTTCACCAAACTATAGCGAGGAAAATGGTAGATGAAAGAAAAACAGTTGAACTTAACAAATCAGTTTTAATAAACAAATCAGTTATCATTGTCAATTTAATGTCAACAATAATAAGAATAAAATCAACCAACGGATTTACACAACATAAGTAATGTACGACACATCGCGTAGTTAGTTGAACATGTCATTATGGTTTTTTTTCATCGAAAGAAAAAGTTAAATACATCCTTAGAGGATGAAAAAAAATAAGGATGCACCACAATCCATCGCCAAGTTCGAATTTCAAAAACCAAAAAACGTTTTTGCGCGCAGATTTCTAACGAGAAAGAAAGACTGTCCGAGTCAGTGAAGTGTAAAAAAATTTTTATTTACTGTTGGCCATGCGTGCATAATATTTTATACGGAGCACAGACAGTACAATCATGAAGTATAAACGGTACTATTTGAGAGATTTGCCTATTTTACGTGTTGCCAACTTCCACTTGCCTGGATGCCAAAAAAATATTAAAAAACTCGGGACATTGACAAATCCACGCCGAATCAACATCCATTTCGGAGAACGGATTTCGTCTAAGGAGTTCAGAGCCGTTCATCGATAAAGCAGATTTTCTCCTATCTTTTTTGGTGGAATATCAGGCACATGGGACTTGCCAACTTACATCTCAATTTGACAGGCATAGTGGCAGTGCCCCTCAGATCTTTGCGATTTAAAGCTTCAAGTGGCATTGCAACCGCTATGCACAGGCGTGTCGCTTAACACCAGGCGCACGACTTGTTCATCATGTCACTTTGTATCATAAAAAAACAAAACAAAATAAGTGGGTATTTGACCTCCATGTTTGAGCATGCAATACCTACCCAAGACCCCCAACGTTATAGCGATTCGACCGATGATTGGAGATGACTCAGCGGTGGAGTTTGGGAATTGATCGAAAAAATTCGTCTATCATAGCTTAACCACGTGTTCATCTCAAATGCCAGAAATATTATTCTCGTGGTAAATGTCAACTGCATTGCTAGCGTCCCAAAGAAGCGTAATAAAGAAATGATTTACTATAGTCATACGTATAGTACAATAGTCGGGCAATATCAATTCTATTTTTACGAGGGCTGCAAGCGAAACAAGTGGGTGGCATGACATACAGGACAGCTGTCAGCTCGCAACGTGTCTATCGGCTCACATAATTGATTTGCTCACCTCCTCAAATTGATCAAGTTCGTCGTAATCAACTTCATACAGCCGAGATCTCGACTGCATGAAGTTGATAACGACTTCACTCATTAACTGCATGCAGTTGTAACCGTCTTCACGCATTAGATCGGTTACACACGGCGATTTTAAGCAGTGATGCAAACGCGATGTAAGCGCACGACTGCATCGATACGATTCATTGACCGTGGTCCTACTGCGTAGTTCTACTAGTAGTACCAAGGGCAACGTTTCTTGCTCGTGGTTCTACCAGTAGAAGTACAGGCAACATTGTATGGGCATTGGACCTACTGATCGGGTAGTACCTCTAGGTAAGGGGTTGGTATGGGCACTGGTAACTGGAATACTTAGAATTTATAGTCTTATTTCACCCTAGACCGAGTTTCTTGGCCTGATCAGTCGCCATTCCAAAGCATTCATCAGTGACTGCACGCACCGCACAATATTTTCACTTAAAAGCGATACTTACAGAAATAATTTATAAAATACATTAAACAGTGCACTTTATTACAAGATTATATCCTGCGTTTTTTTGTGAACTGTCACAGGGATCATCCTAGAGAACAATTGTAGTTAGCTCAGAACCAGCAACATTATTAATATTGATGGTGACTGTATTACCCGGTCCAATGCCCATACTATATTGCCCGTAGTCCTATTGGTAGAACCACGAGCAAAAAACATTGCCCTTGGTACTACTAGTAGGACTACGCAGTTGGACCACGGGCAATGAATCATCGATACAAAGGCGCGATTTCATCGCTACACTTGGGATTTATAGGCGAATGCATCGACATCGTTTGTATCGATGCAGTCGCGCGTTTGCACCGATTAAATCGCCTATAAAATCCAAGTGTACTGCTAAAAGTCGCCGGGTGTTTTACTCTTAACTGAAAACATGAGGTAAATCGATTCGCAGCCTCATAGTGTATGCCATCGATACGATAAAAAGAATAATACACACTTACCCCTTACTATCGGTAGTGATTTTTTTCAAAAACTCTTGTACTTCTGGTTTGTTTTTGTTATCTCCGAAGTAACGGTTGAAGTCGTCGATGGTCTTTTTCTGCGTCATGACGTTCCCCTTACCGCCACTCATCTGCTGCATGTAGTTACGAGCACGCATAATCACTTCCGATAACTGCATCTGGAAATTTAACGAAATTGAATTTATCCTTAATTCTTTAAATATAAAGTTTCGAATGTCGTAGGGCGTTGGTCGACATCTATACCAAAAGCAAAAAGACAGCCTCGCTGGTCTGCAGATTGCGGGCCAGCGCCAACTCCATCCTGATGACGTTGGTAGGGAGACGTGATTCCCCCATTATGCGCCATTTCCTTCAGGTGCTTGTTAGCAAAAGGTGTTTGTGAGAAAAAGAATTTGCTGACAAACACCATTAAATATTAGTATTAAGTATTATTTCTGCTAATGTTTCTTTTTTCTTTTTACTAACATAGTCACTAAGAAAACTGTTACTAACCAATTTATGGACCCCGTTGTCTGAATGAAAGAAATATAAAAAATTAAATAATATATACCGATATACTAACCCAACAAATTGTGAAAAGCTAGCGCACGTCCGCGCAGTACGTTATCTCAAACAGCCGATCAAGACTGCAATTTGTCAATATCTATTTCGAGGACGATAATATCGTTGACGGTATTATCGGTGTCAAAGACATAGCGTCCAAGGGTTTAGATGTAGGTACGATATTCCACAGCCACCAACTTGATTGAAAACGCTCGTATTTTTTGTGGCCCGGCAACCGATTCTGTAGGTAACAATCTGATTTGATTGATATTTATTTGCATAAAATATATTTTACAACAGATGGTGTATAGTAACAGTTTTCATATTTTATTAAAACTGACATGTAAATTTTAAATTTTATTACATTACAAATTTTATAAGTATGATGCTAATTTTAATAAAGTAATTAGAGTTATTAATTATACATGTTATAAGTAAGTAATAGTCATGTCATATAGAAGTACAAATAAAAAAAAAATATAATAAATTCATGTCATTTCAGGTCAAATTAATTATACTATAGTCAAATTTGGAGAGCTTTATATGAAAAGAAGTTTTTATCTCTCAGCCATGACATCAGCTTACGTTTAAATGAATTATTATTATTTATATCAGAAGGTTAAAGTATTACATATTTTCAAATACATGGCCCCAGATTGTCTCTGGTAGTGACTTAATTTGGTAACTACTGTGATTAACAATTATAATCTATCTGTGTACCTTAGAGAACCCCCATATACCCACACAGCGTCGTCGACCCAAGGTCCGTGCCCGCGACACCCAACGCAGTATCACTAACTAATTTGTGGATTTGCATCCACACATGGATGCAACGCCAGCACTGAGCGACTGCTGAATAGCGCCGACTGTCGGGTACAGTCAGGTAGTTGGTAATGGTTGGTAGCGTCGAGGTCGTGTGGACATCGCGTCAACGCTGTGCGTTTGTTGGCAAGACGCTATCGCTCGAAAGACGCTAGAGTGGGGGGTCTCTTACATTTCTATTGTGAACATCCCGAGTCCTTTTAAAAAGTTTATAATTATTCTTTACAAAAATAGACACTTCAAAAATGTACATACAAGGCTGTCACCATATTATGATTTTACATAAACTGCTTACTATTCATGAACACTACAGATAATACATAACTAATAGTAAATAAATACGCATGATGTAACTTACAAGTAACTGCGGCCTTCCGAGAGCGGTGAGCTTTATAGCCATTAACCCAGTGCTCTTTGTGGCATCTGAAAATATTGATCAGATATGTAACTAAAGATATCGCACTATTAAATCAATAGTGTATTAACTCAGAAAGTGTATTTTCTCAGAAACGATGAAAAACGAATTACCCACTTCCCGTGAAAGATCATTAAAATTTATATATACGTTATAGTTTATGACAGACGCGTAATTTCCTACTAATAGTAAATTCCAAAATAAGGACTATTTTGGCCAGTGGCTCATTAGGAGTTAAGTAGATATCTTACAGACAGACTTTCGTTCAAACACCTCCGTTTTCCAAAAACACGGCATCAAGCAGCGTCTGTCTACTGTGGTACAAACTCGCATCCTGAAATTCCTCGGTCACGTCTCAAGACGGAATTTTGACTCCATAAAGCGTCTTGTTGTATAGAGGTCTTGTGCAAGGCAGAGTGGAGGGCACTAGACTGCGCAGATGGTAACCCATTCGATGGACCGACCAAATAAAATCTGCAGTGGGCGGTCCTTTACATGAGTGCACGAATGAGTCCACTAACAGAGAGAGATAGCGACATGTCGTGAGGCAAGCCATATCAGCTGTTAACTAACGTGTACTCTTGACAGAGTGGTTGTGGTCGTTACGAAATGATATATGGAAGAAATGATATATGGAAGAAATGATATATATATATAGATGATACAAAAGAGAAGGAGAATCTTTTAATTATTTCTTACAATATTCTAACGACGGTTTTATTGACGTATAGAGAATCAAGTTTTACGTTCAATAATTATATAATATTGAATTTCACATATTTTGAGTTACAACACTATTGTAACAACAGTGCGATATGTTGAGCATAAAATTTCCACCTAATAAAAAATAGGCTACACCGCGAAGAAAGCTAAGCTAACTTAGCTTAGCTCACGTAGCCGGGACATCTACTCATATGTAACCTCCTTACGTCGTCATCCCACCTTTTTATCGCCTTTTCTCCAGTTCCTGGCCACTCGTTTTTAAATTTTGAATCGTTCTTTAATTCCTTTGCCACGCCATTCTGATTTTCTTTCGTTCCATCATCGCTCCCTGCTCGATCGCGGCAGCGTACAGTACTGGTAAAGTTTCAATTGCGTCTAATTTTGGTTCCTTTACCGGTTATAATACCGATTAGTAATAGCTACTACTAATCGTGCACTCATCATACTTAAACACACACACACATATACACACACACACATACACACACACATACACACACTTACAATAACGCACATTTAAACCTTCACACATTAACTTGCATGTTAGTTTTAAGTTAATTTTGTATTCTCAACAGTTCTTTTATTCCTTTTCTTGATTTTATATAAGACTAGTCTGAGAGGGCGAGGGCCTGGTGAGCTGTAATACAGGTTTAGTTGCCTAGTACGGTCTCCAGTCTCTCACAAGTGTTTCAATTTCTCATATTGTTAGTCTAATGAAATTTATATTAGTTTAAGTTCTTGTGTTGAGAAAAAATAAATAATCATTTCATTTCAATCATTTCATTTCATTTCAATCATGTGCCAATTTTGATAACAATTTGTGATAACTACTGCTAATCACTTGATTAGCAGCTTGATTGGCACTTGCCAATTTTAATACCAATCTGTAATACCGCATAACTCCGCCCTTTTGGTGTAAGTGTCTGGACTGTTTTTGTTAATCCGTAGTAAGAGAATGTTTTATACTGTTGTACCTGTTTTTATATACCCTTTCTTGTCTTTTTACAGCCTTTTCTTTCTTTACCATCAACTTTACAATAAAGGAGTTGTTCCTTTAGTGGTACTAAAATAAATGGAAAATTTAACCAGGCTATTAGTTGGTTTTTTGTAAAGAGCTCTCAAAAAATCTCGAAAGTCTGAATTATTTTTGGCCTGCAATTTCCAGAAAATCGTTAGGCATTTTTTATACTATGTAAAGTAAAACGGAACGTAATCCCACGAAACGGAACGGATTTTTATGTAATTTTTGGTTAATGGGCCAGTGGCTAAAGCCATAAAAAATATTGACACATCAGGGGGTCTACTCTCGATCTCCAAGTGAGCTTTTAAATGCTCACATTACTGCTTGGCGACAGAAATAGGTATAGTATACATTTATATATGTGACACACAGACGCTGCCGGTGCGTGGCGACGCAACGCTATGATTTCAATGTACGTAATATCATACGAACAATGCGGTGTCGCAACGTAACGCCACTTACGCATCTCAACACCCCTCGTCTTCTGCCGTCTTGTCCGATACCCACGCGTTACGTCGCCGAGCGCCGTTTCAACGCATCATGTGGCATGCGATTCTAATTTTTATGCAGTACAACGCAGCGTCACCGCTCAAGTGTCGCAACGTCGACGCAACGTATCATATGGCATCGCTATAATAAGTGAAAGCTTTAAGTAGATTAGTCAAGTGCACTTACTGTACTTTGATACCGATTATGTATTACACGTTTTCGAGAAACCTTACCGCGTAACTCTAACCAAGTATTAACCTTATAACTAACAAAGTTAAGGTACACTTTTAATTGCAATGAAATTTCATGTCTCGTATTCCGTAATAAATACTTCTGAGGATTGTGAGCTTTCTCTATTGTAAGAGAGTATATTACATTACTGCATTCGTCAACTTACGTAAAACACAAATTGCTTGGAATCTCAGATTATGTGATAAATCATGAACTTGAACTTCGGAAACATAATTAGAGGTGTTGGGTAACCCATATTAAATCCAGTTTCTTTTTTTCACAGAACGAACTAGTCGTGATAAGCGACAGCCCTGTCTGAACAGTGCCACTGACAGGGGCACTGCCATTACGCGCATCGCTGATACATAAGTAGACAAGTCTCATGTGCCTGTAATGTCACCAGCACTCTTACCCTTCGAAATCGGAAAGCAGTAATGTTTATATTATCACTTGGCGGCAGAAATAGGTAAGGTGGCAGTCCTTCCCTAGAACGAAGTGCTATTAATTTTTAATGTCAAAGTACATACCGTGTACAGCCTCAATGCTCTTTAGAAAATGTCCCATGTTCTTCTCGCAAGCCGCTTCATTTGTGTAGAAGTATGTCCTAGCACTCGTGACCTTGTACCGTCTGTCCGCGAACCTCTGTTCTACATTGAACTGCTTCAAATCTCCCTCTTTCTGGCCGTCGTTTGGTGTCTTCACCGATGAGGTCGTAGCACTGGAAAACAGGTTTTATTAATAATAATAATAAAGTACAAATGAAAAGGTAACGAAAATACTGAACCCTTTGCGCTTGACAAGTTTTAAAATAAAAACAGCAACGAGCGCTCAGTGAGTGAAACCCTAACACAACCATCAAGCGAATAGTAATGATATTTATGATTTTCAACATACATATATATATGTACATGACATACAATATATTGTTTCATACGCTACCCGGAACAATATAAAATAATTTACTTATTATTACTTATGTCTACGCTTTATTTTTATTGCACATCATTACGTTGTTACTAATTTTGTAAAAATATTCTACTAATTTGTTATTATTATTGATACAAAAAACGAACAACACAAACAAAAATCCTTCGATTAAAATGGACACGCACTAGCGCAGCTCCCATTGCTTCAATGTGGCTACCAGTCAGATCGAAAGAATACGTTTTGTGATCTCCGTATCCATAATAATAACGAACAAGAGTATAGTTCGTAAAATATAAGGGAAATGCGATACGGGCGTTGTTTCGGCGTTGCGTCGTCGTAACTGCGTTGTACTACATATAAATCAGAACGACATGCCACACATGGTGCGTTGAAGCAGCGCGTTTCGATGGAACAGTTCGAGTGACACTCAGTCCTTTGAAATAATAGCGTAACGACGCAACGCACCGGCAAAACCCGTGTGGCATCACCCTAATTTTAATCATCGGAGTCGAGCCCAGACCACGACTGCAAGAAGTTAATTACGACTGCACGCGTTAACTGCAAACATGCAGTCAATATGTTAGCAGTCTAATGTTCACATTACACGCGGCAGAAATAAGTAAGGTGGCAGTACTTCCCAGGACGTACCCTTTCATAAGGAGGTCTACTGCTACTTAAGGTCTGCTGCTAAAGTACACCTATCAATGCTCCAAAGAAATGAACGATCTATTGTGTTGTTAACATAATCGACGATGGTCATGTAACGCACGAGTAATATCTAAAACGGTAGAAACGTGCCGCTTAAACCATTTAGCCGTCATTTCATTTGGGCAAAGAATGTCGGTTAAGTAATTTATTATCATTGCAACCATTGACTTACAAATAAATGGACGACGGGTCTAATACAAAAACCACGAAAAAAATGTCCCAAGTCAACCTATTCGAAATTTAAATTGTTATGTCATCGCAGTATCGCGCTGTCAGTAGAACAAATGAAGACTAAAGCGGAGTGTCGCGCTCTGTATACGATTTTAGCGCCTTACAAGTGCGGACACTTTTTAGCGCGGACCCGACGTCCATATAATTGTAAGTCAATGATTGCAACCGAAAATAATACCACAAAAATATTCCACTTCTAAGGGTGGCAAATTAGGGGATGACTCCGGTTTCGTGCGTTTTCCGGTAACCGATTTCAATACAACTTGGGAAATAGATGTAATTCCACGAACTTTTGAAGTCGGTTTTTTAATTTCATGCATTTTTTCTTGTATTAACAACCATTGTTATAAAACATCGTTATTTTGTGTCATTTCATAAAATTCATTTTATTATAAATGGGTCGTATAAATCAATATAAATTCCTCCTAAAATGTACAGAATTTGGTGTTAAAGCCAAATAACGTCATTCTATTCGATTTGTAGCTCTGTGGTTGATATATTTAGCCTTACTCTAGAAACAGTTGTAAATAAATCCATTTAAACCATTTTCCTTGCGTCCAGTAGTTAGGACCGGTGGTGGATAAATCAATTAGCCTTATTCCAAAATAAGGGTGTTTTGTATCAAGCGACATTTATTTTCGGAATTATTAAGTTCATTTACTTGAGAGTAACACAGAATTTTGACGGGTTTTAAAAGAAAACCGCTTTTGTTACTTTTGTAAAAAAAATATTCACAAGTTTTTATTATATGATTTTTCCAAAATCGTAATCTTTAAATCGCTCTCCTGAACATTTCAAAAAATGGCGCTTAATACAATTGGCCCTTCACCCGTCGATATAGTATAAATTTCGAAAGTATGTGTTGAGCGTAGTAACGCGTATTATAGTCGCTTGTATTCCGCTACGTGTGTAGAGGCCTTAAAAGTTGGAGAAGCGTGTGTGATGTCCTCCGATGATTGGCAGTGATCGTGATGTGTGACGTCACAATTCATGAAGCCGTACGCACTGACGCATGCCATTGATGAACTATAAATAACAACAACCTCGCTACATACATACTTTCGATTCAAGTTATTCTGTAGGAAATTAAAACTGCCTAACCAGCGTATGTCATGTTGAAATTGTCAATTAATAATGATTAACGACTAATTGTATTGCACAAAAACGTAGCTTTTTTTTTACTTTGTCCCGTGGCTAAAAAGAACATCTTGTGTTCTTATTAAACACGTTGATAGTTTCGAGTGTTTTTTTAATCAAAGCTATACGAGCGCATGACTGTTGGCACTAATGATTTTTAAAATACTTGATGTAAACGAGATAAACAGAAATAGCTTCTTTTTTACATGAAATGTTTTCGATGGGATACTTACAAACATACATACGGGCGAGCAAAAAGCATTACCTTCCTGGGCTACGCCGCGGTTGAATAAATAAAAGGTGAAATAAATTAATAAAACGACAACATAGAAGGATAAATTATTCATAAAAGTAAAAAATAAAAATTAAATTGTAATCAATTGTTTAAAACGTCGACGTAGATAAATGGCAAATGTTAAATTATCATAACAAATTAAACGCAACATGGTAAATTTTTAAGGTTTAGAGGGCTGCCGCTTATTGACCATCAACTAATGTAAACGATAATGATACACACTCGCCTAAAGCTCAGTTTACATTGAGGCGGATCGGAACGAAAGCGTCAATTTCGCTGGAATGCTCGGGCGTTCGTGAGCTCTCTCGCGACTGCGCCTTGAAGCTGGGGGTCTGCCCTCGATCTCCGTCCGACATCCGTCCGAAACAATTACTGCCAAATAAGCAATACTTGACCAAATGAAAAGACGCGTGATGCGAATGAAGCTTCATACTGGATACTTGTCTTTTAATTTTGTCGAATATTACTTATTTGACAGTAATTGTTTCGGACGGATGTCGACCCCCCTGTTTAGTATTTCGTCGACGTTTAACGTCACACTGCGCCTGCCTTCGCGCCACTTCCCGCAGATTCGCCAGACGTCGCCGTCGCCGACGGCAATTGCGGAATTCATATTCAATACACGAGAATTCCGAGGAAGACGCGCGATGTGATTTTTGGCTCGTATCTAGTTTGTACGTTACACAATATTGACCATAAAGTTCATTACGCTATGTGCAATATCATTATAAAAATTCGCTTCCATTCCGTTCCGCCGCAATATAAATTGAGCCAAGTGTTTGATATACAGTGCTATTGAGGAATAAGTGCGCCTTCAATTTAGACGCTCATACATAGAAGCACCACAGTGGCGCTGCTGCCGCGCCACTACCAATTCTCATACAATATTTAGAAACGCAGTTGCAGAACCACTGTCGTAACACGCGGGCGCCACTTTTGCTGTCACAATTAGTGAACTAAAAATTATTGGATCGTGTTCAATCTTTGTATTAATAATAATAACTCTAAGGAAGGCATCCCACGGCCCGTTACGTACGTTCCTGTACGTCTGCGTCTGGCGCACCGTGGACACAATCAGCGAGTACCTTACGCCAATTGGCAAATTCTTTCACCACGATGGGGAGCATTTTAGTGTATACCACGGGTACGATATGTAGAAGAAGCATTTAAAATAACTTTATTCCATCAATATTGTATGTTAACTTATTTCGATTTTTAAAGCGGGCGATATTCAGTTTGAGAATAATTCCGACTTATGTATAAAGGACGCACTTTTAGAATGAAAGTGACTTATTACAAAACATAAAGAAAATTATAGTCTGTCTTTTTTGATGACGGAGTTTGGGTACGATAGAGTACGATAGAGCCCAACTTGCGCGAGAGCGACATAAAGTGCGAGAGCGACATAAAGCGCGAGATCTTTAATGCGAGAATACCAGTATCTCGTGCTTTATGTCGCTTTCGCACAAGTCGCGCCCGTTCGTGTTAGGTCTACAGTTTTCATAAAATTTGAAATAGTCATGTAGTTGTCGTCGACAGTTCTATCGAAAGACTTTTTTTTTTATACTAACGCACACACTCAACATAGCCCCGCACTAGGGAAACCCTGTGTCGCGGGTGCCATGGACACACACATAGACAACCACAAATTACACCCAAACTCACGAGAGAAATAAATGTAGGTCATACAAATATTTCGCCCGGCCCGGAAATCGAACCTGGGACCTCTGCGTGGCAGTCCGGCATGGTAACCGTTCGGCCACGGAGGCAGATTGTGAAGCAAGGTATATAATTTTGCCAAAAATGCATAAGTTGTGAATGTTACGATGTTCTAATAGTTACTAATTGCGTTTATTACCTTCTTTAGTCTTATTTTCACACTTGGCTTCTAGTCATCAGTCAGCCCTACGACGCCCACTACTGGGCATAGGACTCCCTCAACGATATCCACAACGATCGGTCCTGCTCTGCCCGCATCCATCGGCTTCCCGCGACCTTTACCAGATCGACGGTCCACCTGGTCGGGGATCTACCCACTATGCGTCGTCCGGTGAGCGGTCGCCGTTGAAGAACCTTTCCGCCCCAACGGCTATCGTTCTCCTAGCTATGTGCCCTGTCCACTGCCACTGCAGCTGAGCAATTCTTGGAGCTATGTCGGTTACCTTAGTTCTCCTACGGATTTCCTCAATTCTGATTCTATCACGTAGGGAAATACCGAGCATCGCTCTCTCCATTGCCCGCTGAGTGACCTTGAGCCTTCTTATGAGGCCCATAGTGAGGGACCACGTTTCTGATACATATGTGATCACTGGCAACACACACTGGTCAAAGACTTTGGTCTTGAGACACTGAGGTAATTTGGACGCGAACATTTTTTGTAGTTTCCCGAACGCTGCCCATCCGAACTGGATTCGACTTGGCTTCTAGTATAGAAATAAATTTTCACTCATACACATTTCAATAAGAACAGGCAGATTTAATTATCTATATATAATTAATACGAAAATCTTTAAAATATGTCTCCTCTTTATATTTTTAATAGACACAGTTGTATGCATGAAATTACAAAAATTGACAATTCAGATGAACCTGTGCCGAAGTTGATGATTATTTATTGCAAAAGGATAACCAACATTCAGTCGATAGTCGACAGAATGTTTATCGACTACAATCACTGGCTGCTCACAAGCGGGCAAGGTTTTTGCGCAATATACTGTCATTTTACTACATCTTCAAAAAAGATAGACTATAGTTTATAGCGTAAGACGACTTTAAAAATAATAATTTAATTTGGAATTAACCCATTAAAGTTTGAATCGAACATTCACTGCATTCTTTAACATGTTTGAAATTCCATTCCTGTATCGATATGTAAACGCCGCATTAAATAACGTGAAATGTCACAATTTCAAATCTTATTTTGCTTATTCCCAAAAAGTTAAAATTTTGTGTTGGGTTTCATTTGAAGGGTGCGGCGAGTTTTGGATTTTTTTTTAAATAGCTATTTATTTACCTCACTTCTCGTTTTTGGGCCTCGGACTCGGAGATGTCTTCCTCCACGGAGTAATCCAGGATCGACTTTACGCCGAATGAATACAGTCTGAAACAAAAATGTACACGGTGATACAAACTTAAGTAGTAACTATTCGGCCTAATACCGAATACTTAAAAACATAAGGAAGAACTAATGCAGTAAATTATCACAAACTTAAGTAGTAGGTATGTTTGTACCAGGTTTAGAAATTATAAAGATATTTATATTCTTTGATAATTATCTGAGAATATTTTTGGCTCTTTATTTTTATAAAACTAAATAAACACGAAGAAAATTATTTACTTCGATACGTGTCTCCTACAAACACATGACACAACATAGCTAGTGGTAGCATTTTATTGTTCCAATTAATTGTATAAATATCGCGTAAATTATCAATGATTATTATAACTTCGAAACCTGGTTCGTGCATAGTCAGAACCTAGACTAGACGTGTGCGCCGCGCCATCATCGCCACCGCCGATTAATTCGACCGGAGCGGCGTAAAATTGGCGTGGCGAAAAATTGTTTAATTTTAATGAAATATCATCATCTTTATTAATTATTTACTACATTTCAATACAATATTTCCGTGCAATTTAAATTAATTACGTTCTTTTTTATATAACATGTTACTGATATTAAATTTAAATAAAGAGCGTGACTATTTTTTATTTTAACCTGTTTGTTACCATGAGCACCATCACCAGTTAAAATATCATGGAATTTTTTTAGCTGATATTTAGTGTTTAACTAACAACCAATCAGGTACCGCTACTCGCAGATACGTTGGCTATCTGATTGGTCAGTTTCTTGACACTGAGATTTCTATTCTTCGAATAATTAAATACAATAGAAGAGAACGTAAATCATATTTAATAAATAAAGTACACATTATTGTTATAATCTAAACCTGTTGGTTTAGATAAATATTTAAGTCAGTTGGCAAGCAAAATACATAAGTATATGTTTACACAACGATCAAAATTATCTAGCCCGAGTTGGCGCACATCGTCTGTAATATGCCAATTTAAAAAAACCTTCACGGGAAAATTATTTTACAGTAAAAAAAAATGAAATATGGGTATTTGTACACAATATACATTACGTAAAGTAAAAACGTGACCATGTTGTCTCTTACAACATTAATGGACGTATCTTACCTACCATGTTGAAGAAAATTATAATTTATTAACATAACATTATGACACTTCTTACAAAACGTACTAAAATTTTAATCTTGAATGATATTTTAGGCGCAGGGAAACAAAAGTTATTTATATTTGTTGTTAATAGCGTTGCAACGAATAGTATATTCGGCCTCATTTTCACCCAGGAACGTGGCCGAATAGCCGAATATTGGGCCTGAAAAACGCACGTACGCAAAGATCTCGCAACCCTGCTCTCGAACCGCTGTAACTACACTTCGCCAATCGCGTTAAATATTGACCAGTTTTAATTGGATTTGTTACCCTTTTTTATCTCTGAAAAATAACATAAATTAGATGTGCTACATTTCCCTAGATCTTTTAGATAAAAAAGCGAAAAATTGCGCTTTCTGGAACTTACACCATAAGTTCAGCATCAATAAAAGTTGCATGATAATTTATTTATTTATTGCATTAGTTCTTCCTCATGTTTTTAGGTATGAGGCCGAATAGTGATTCAATATTCGATATTCAACTGAATAGCAAAAAATAGGCCGAATGGGCCAAATATTCGTTGCAACTCTAGTTATTAATGGTTAAACAAGGCCCCACCTGCAAACTTAATCGTCAACGTGTTACGCAAAAGCAGCGAAAGAGGAATAATAATAGCATAGTAACCAAAGTCAAGGTGATTTCGTGCATATGACGTCACATCAGTCAGTTGACGTTGAAAGACGAGCCTTTGTTGGTGAATTTCCAAGAAATGTTCCAAAAAAAAACCACATACGTCTCTTGTGAGACACAATCCAGGAACGGAACATTGGTTCACTCTATGCCAGTGACAAATTTAGCAGAAAAATGTCACCAAAATTAAACGGGCGCTGTGTAGCTCGATCGTGGCAATCAATCTTAGCAACATCTACATTACTAAGGACGTATCCTTAAAATCGTAAATTCGTTGATGATGGCATATAACATCTTAAAGCCAACATTAATAAATCCATCTCAAATGCTAGGTCGTTTAAGGAAACTGTCTTTCTCTCTCTATAACCTGAGTGCACATCGACCATAGCTCATCGATTATGTATCGTTTAAGAGTTTATCCTTTTATTAACAAATGTCACTTAGTAGGTACTTAAGCTACGGCCCTAGACTTTTTTCATGATACTTAGTGACGGACGAACAAGTCTGTGTGTCTGGTGGTAAGCAAACCGCTTGTCCATAACATCTACTCTACATCACAAAGATCTGAGAAGCACTGCCACTTCGCCCGTTACCTTGAGTCGTAAGTTGAAAAGTCCCATATGCCAGTAATTTCAGCAGCACTTACTCTTCAAAACTAACACAGAAATAGGTAAGGTGGCAGTATTTCCCTGGACGAACTCTCTTCACCAGGTGCTCTACTACTAAATCATTATTATTTCCTAATCAATCTTTCAAAAATTGGTCACTAGAGTTGGCATCGTTCAATATGTTTATAGTCAATTAATAGAAAAGAGGTTGTAATGCAGATACCAGAATTCCGGTATAAAAAATTATTATAGTTTTAGTAGCAATAGAATTCCTTCCGAAAGAGTTAGTCCAACGAAGTACCACCTTACCTATCTCTGCCACCAAGCAGTAATGCTCACATTACTGCATTCCCGTTTGGAATGGTAAGGGCGCTGGTGAAATTACAAGGACATGCCACTTGTCAACTTATGTCTCAAGGTTACGGGTGCAGCGGCAGTGCCCATAAGATCTTTACAGTTTAAAACTCAAAGTAGTTATAAATTGTTACTATTATAAACAGGGGTGTCGCTTACCACCAGGATCACGACTTGTTCGTCCCGTCACTGAGTATTATAAAAAAAAATATTAACAAGGACCAAAGTCTCCTGTTCCTCAGATTGCCTTGACTCGGCGTACCCCTCAATACTTACAAAGCAGTAAAAAGTGGGAGGTGGAAACCCTACCCTACCATCGGTGGAATTCATTAAAAATGTCATGTGGAATGCATCAAGTTACCTGGTTTACGAAAAAAATTAAGCTTTATCCCTTAACAGACGTAAATATTTCTTCACATACAGAGAAAACTGTTTACCTGTCGACAGTCGGTCGGATTCTGACAGGGTCTTCTCCGGCGACGAACTGGCCGTAGAAGGTGGCCTTCATGATCAGCTCGAACAAGGTTTTCCCAACTAATTGCCGCGACCTTTTCATCAACTACCGACAAACAAAGAGAAAACTTTTAATTTCAATGACTTAGGCAAGATAAAAAAATTTCAACGCCCACCACCACAAAAAAATTACTGAAAACACGTATTTTTAATATTTAACTTAACACAAAAAAATTACAAGGAAAAAATTATAAATTTTTGGTGTAGTTTATATGTTTAGAGCCTACTGTCAGGTGTTTTACACGTGCGCCCTGTGGATCAACCACACGCAGCGGACTCTCGACGCGCTGCAGATTCCGTACAACAATGCCTTTAGGGTGTTGCTGGGGCTGCCCCGATTCTGCAGCGCGTCAGACATGTTTGCGCAGGCTAATATAGATGATTTTAATGCCATCATGCGAAAGAAAACGGCCTCGCAGCTCTGCAGACTACGGAGTAGTTCCAATTCCATTCTAAGGATAATAGCAGAGCGACATGATTCCCCGATCATAGCACATTGTGTAGACAGATGCATCTCGCACACAAAAATAGTGACTAAGTAAGTAGTAGTTACAATTGTAATGTAATGGATTTCTCTATGACATGTGATTTCTAAAATTTTAGTTTTGTTCATGTTAATTATTATTATTTTATTAGCTAATTTGAATTTTAATTGTTATTTTATTAATTGTAAATTTTAGTATTTTAAATTTTTACTTTCGACTAAATTATCTTTATTATTTCAGTGACTTTAATATTATGTATTTTGAATATTTTGACATTTCGATTTTAAAAATTGTAATGTACACTTCATATACAATACACCACAAATTCACCATACAGTCATTTGTTACTAATATAGTATAAGGTTGCTTACTAACAAACTATGGACCTATGGTGTCTGAAATAAAAGATTTTTATTATTATTTATTAAGGCTTTGGCAAAGCCATCAGCCTAAACATGAAGTTTAATTATGTTTCTGTAAATGTGGCCGCCACAAAGAGAATAGGCAATTTGAGGCGGCGTGCTTGGATTGACTCGGGATTCCTTAGAACGGGCCGATACGGGTACTTTAGTTCGAGATTCGTATAATTTCGCGTTTTAATCTTCGATTAAGGCACAATAGCACTATCCTATTCCACTTTAAACTAGATTTCACAAAATAATTGAAAGTCAAAATAAAAACGACACTTTTCCCTCCAAAAGGTCCAGAGCGAATCCTTTTATTTTTATTTATTTTATATAGATAATTAAGGTTTTTTTTTTAAAGCAGTAGCACCCTCTGGACAGCATCAACGCCCATCAATTGCTTCCGAGGTCCCTATCGCTCGAGCTCGCGCTCGCGCTTTATGCGCTGTCGCGCAAATCGCGCCTTGTCGTTCTAGCCCTACTGATGTGGCTTTATTACACCACGGGTGCGAAATAATATCACGAACATTTTGCTTAAAACACACAGAGAACGGGTGCTGGTCAGGTGCGTGTCGGGTCGAGAGTACGGCGGCGGGTGTGATTTTATATGGACGACAGACACCACGCGCCCGACCAGCACCCGCTGTCAGTGTGTTTCACGCTAAAATATAATGACTAAGTAAACTGTAGATGCAACTAAGACGCCTGCGAAGCAAAATCCGTGTGACATATTAGATCAGGAAAACACTCTATCGGTTATGTGTAATACTGCTTGCAATAGCTATCAGATCAGATTTAAATAGATGCGTTGCCGATTCCATATGGATGTGACGATAAAAAAACAAAATAGCAACACTAAAAGATATTTATAAAGAAAAATAAGAGGACGGGCGTAGAGTTATTTACGAAAAAAGATATGTTTTACGGTTTTCAAGGGATTACATAACGTATCACAATTAATGTGTGTTATAGAACCATTGTTTCATTTTAAAATTATATGCTTATGCTTATACTTGGTGTCCGATGATCCGATTCAAACGACCGGATATTGTTACGGATTTGGAAATACCTGTGGACCATGACAATGGCCGTTGTTGAGATATTCGGAGCGTTGTGCAGGATCACCGAGTATATAACCAGAAATAGAGGCGAAATGTCATTTAATTTGTTTGAAAACTATTCTGCTATATCATTACTGTGACTATATACGGAGACATACACACAGGTCAGTAGTTGGCCTGTCTATATTTCAGTGCAAACGAGAGTTAATATTTAACAGCGTTTACAATAAATATATAATAATCATAAATATACAAAGTAAACCTTAAAATAGTACAGCCAATGACATGTTATCAAGAATAAAATTTAGTATATAATACAACACCATAAAAGCATGAGCCAGTATTGAATGCTTCTGATCTTCCCCAAAAACGTGTTTGGTGTGTGGGTGTGTGGGTTCGTGGGTGCGTTCGAGCGTGGGTGCGTTGGTGCGTGGGTGCGTGGATGCGTGCGTGCGTGCGTGCGTGCGTGTGCGCGCGTGCGTGTGCGTGTGCGTGTTCGTGTGCGTTTGCGAGTGCGTGTGCGTTTGTGTGTCTATCAATGTGTGTGTTTTAGACAGAAAAATAATGTGTCTGTGTGTATATAATTGTACACATTATTATAAACTGAAATATGAACCTACTTTAATAAAATGTTATTTTTATTTCAATATGTAGCTTTGAATTTAAATTTAAACCATTACTACTGTGATGAATATTAATCTTGATACATAATATAAATAATAATCGATATATTCAAAATAAGTAAGTAAATATCGGACAATTCACTGGCATTACTCAAGCGAGCTAATTATTCCTTTTTTAAATATTGCCTTAGATTGACAAAAAACATCGTGTTCACTAAAACGTGAATTATACAGTTTAGCAAGACGAGTCAGAGGACTGTTCATAGCGTAGTTTGTCGAGCACGGGGGTATATTATAAAATAAGGGCGTGTGACGTATGCGACGCACCGGCATGCGGCAGGTGATACCCGCACAATCAATATGACCATTCACAATGTCATGCAACAAACATACATCTATTTCGTCGTTCGTTTCTGGTTATATACTCGATGTGCAGGATCTTCCAAGAAAAGAAAAAGAAAATCCACTGTACTGTAGCGTGTAGCGCTGGCTGGTTTATTTTATATTTAGAATTGTATAAAAAAATAGAAGATTGTTGTCAAGTTAACATCGGGAGACTTCTATCAAACAAACCGAACAAACGGACAAATCTTCAAACCGAACGCTCACAATAAATCTTTAATCATGAATATACTCCTCATTCATTATTAAATAGTACCTCTCTCTACGCTACAACCACGGCTACGCTCCCACAGTACCTACTCGGTTTCCGAGTACTTTACAGATAAAAATCTCAGTGGTTCCTGTCAGATACTACCAATACGCTTATCCCTGTCGTCCCTTAACTAGAGCTAAAGATAATACTCACTTCGTACTGAATAGGATTTACGGGGAAAGCTTCAGTAGCAACTTCAAATATCTACGTTCATAGCGGTAAACTTTATCCGTACGTTAAAGGTCCCATGTCTACAAATTTTCTTGAAACCACCACTGGTCATTGTAATTCCTTTGAGACTCCACTGAATACTGGTAATATTTGTTATTCCGCTATAATCTTGTTGCAATGGCAGTGAAGTCTCGACAGAGTGTCAGTGGAATGGCGGAGAAGGCATTCATTCATTTCGACAACGATCGACGTCACCTTTTGTGATCTCATTTAATCAACGGTTAAGTATTCAGATTAAATGTATTATTTATGTCAAACAATAAGATCGATGTGCCAACGACTCGCCATTAGCGGGCTTTACGCAGACACTCTATCGTGCGTGATACAGCAATCATGTGCTGTGCGATTGAGCTCCCGTGTAAACACGTTGCATTGTTGCATTGCAATTGGAAGGAAAAGGGAAAGACCGCGCGTTTGCACTCACCAGTCGCGGGCGCAATCGCGCAATCCAACACGCGCCAGTTTCATGCGGTCTATCCTGCGCTATTAGACTTTACACGGACGCTGTTTCCGTTGTACCAAGAACTAACAAATGAACGTTATCGAGTTCTTAGAAAATGAAACTATTTTTCCGGACTGACCATTGCAATTTTTTTGTATTCTGCTCTTCAAAAGCGCCCTTTATAGGAATGCACGCGGGAAAGCCTGCACTCGCAATAGTGCGCGATGGAAAAATCCCAGACGTAAGACTGCAGTGGTGATTAATATGTTTTAATTTGTTCTAAGTTCCATTATTGATTAATAATAAATTTAACTTAATAAAAATTCATATTGTTAAAATAAAATCATTTGTAAAACGGATGTAGCGTAAATTGGAATGTTCTTCGTAAAATTAAAAATAAGGTATATATTTCATTAATAACTTTTTGAACTACAGTGAAAATATAGGGTGATTTGCGTTAATATTACACATAATTGGTTGATGACTATACCACCTCAGTCAACCGTGACTATGGGACTTGTAAAAGGGCCCGAAACGTTGGTTTGTTTGACAAAACAAATACCCGCGACTTGATTTTAAATCCGGAAAAATAGTTTCATTTCCTAAAAGAAGTCTTCAAACAGGTAATCGCGCACGATTGCGGGTGCAGGCTATCCCGCGCGCAATTCTGTAAAGGGAGTTGTTTTAGAGCAGAATACCAATAATCATAGTACAGAGTACTAAAAAAACCGATCTCAAAAGTACGTGGAATTACATATAATTACCAATTTTGTTTTATTGAAATCGGTTACCGGAAAGTGCGCAAACCCGGATTCATCCCCTAGTTCGCCACTATACAGGACTTGACACAGGAGATAATAAAAATCGGTTCACTACTCAAAGTATATTGAGAGAAAAAAGGCCTTGAATTAAAGAATGGCAAAATCAACCATTAAAATAATTGCTCATTATACTAAAATTTAGGCGCTATTTATAAAAATGAATCTTCATGCGTGAACAGCCACCCTTAGAGGTTGATGATTTTTTTCAAAATTGAATGGGACCACTATGGAGGTACCCTCTTTCCATCAAAAAAAATCATGAAAATTAGTTTACAAATACCAGAGTTATCACGTAACATACATACAAAAAAAATACAGTCGAAC